CACAAAATTTAAAAGTCCACAACTCACTTTTACCCAAACATATCTCCTGCTCATAACACATTATCCCATTGTTTGGAACTTGAAATCTAGAATGCTTTACACTGCCTGTGTATTTCCAGAATGAGTTTGGGGATTAGATGATAAGTCATTAGCATTTCTACCTGGATACAAGGCACATGTGATTCATGTTGAAATGGAGATGGCTTTTGGGAAGGTCGATGTGCATAGCAAGTGGTGGGTTACAGGTTTTCTAAGATGTCCTAAAACTCTCAGACACAGGTGAATCTGCAGCATCTAAAAAGTAGAGCACAAGATACAGAGGCAACCAGTCCTGCACCAGAAGCAGAGGAAATGCTACCTCTATTCATCACCATGCAGAAGGTAGGTGGGAGCTCATACTCGGATCAAAAGATCAAGTTTGTGAGGATGGAAGGAGGCTAAAGATTTGCCTAGCTTGGGTTAAATGCAAGGATTCTCCAGTTTAAATCTCATAGTGAAAGTCAGTTCGAGGGCTGGATATTATCTGGTTGTGAAAGATAATGTGCAAGTCATCGGGAATGAAGAATGGCTTTAGACTGTTTCCAGGAGTACAAAGTGTCTACTTAAGCAACAACATTAACATTACTGTAGCAATGGATTAAATGGGGAAAAATTTTCTGTAGCTTAGAATGTAAGTTGTCTCCTGAAGAGTGTTTAGACAGTATTGGTCTTGATTTGTTTGTTACAGAAAAAGTCTTAAAACATGAGATCTTGTCATGTGATCCTTTCTATTCAGTCATAGAGACATAGAGATGTACAGCACGGAACAACTTTGGTCCAACTCGGCCATGCCAACCAGATATCCAAATAAATCTAGTCCCATCTGCCAGCATTTGGCCCATATCACCTAAACCCTTCCTATTCATATACCCGTCCAGATGCCTCTTAAATGTTGTAATCATACCAGCCTCCACCACTTCCTCTGTCAGCTCATTCCATACACACACCACCCTCTGCATGAAAAAGTTGCCTCTTAGGTCCCTTTTAAATCTTTCCCCTCTCAACTTAAACCTATGTCCACTAGTTTTCGGCTCCCCTACCCCTATCACCCTATCCATGCCCCTCATGATTTTATAAACTTCTATAAGGTCACCCCTCAGCCTCCAACGTTCCAGGGAAAATAGTCCCAGCCTATTCAGCCTCTCCCTATAGCTCAAACCCTCTAACCCTGGCAACATCCTCATAAATCTTTTCTGAACACTTTCCAGTTTCACAACATCCTTCCTATACCGAAAACTGAAATTTATCTTTCAGATTAATCAGTCTCTACAGAAATTGCAACAAAAAATACAAACTAGCAAATATCTTTAGCCAATAGACAGTATGTTTGACATTACCTTTAGAGGAATATTTCCAACTGTCCTGTCCCTGTTAAAAATAATACTGCAATGATGGCATCAATTTTCAGATAGTATGGACCTCCTTTAGGGTTGGTATCAACCTAACAAGCTGGACTTTCCATTAAACCAAGAGGCAGCACAGACATTAGCAAGACTAGGAATGTTACTGCTACATGAGTATCTTAGGTCATTCAAGGAGAAGCAGCACTTGTTTCAATGCACATGAACTACTCTAGGCTTTGAGGAAGGGTCACTACCAAATAAAAGTCACAAATTTCAATTAAAATAAAACACAATCCATTCAGGGTTTTAGAATCTCTCCCACCATACAAAAGGGCTGATTCTACACCATCAAAACCATCAGCAGCTGATGGAGGTTTGGCTGAATTCTCAAATCGACTTTCACAACGTGCTAGTACAGACGCTGTTTGCAATATTGATTATCAATTGGGGCAAATATATCGATGTCAAAAAACATCATTGTGCTTGAGCACAGGAACAAGAGCACATGTGAATCTATGTGCAATAGTGGGTGTGTCAGCAAGAGATAGTACACAAAAATACAGAAAGCAGAAGTGTACAACAGCACGGGAGAGTTTGTGTGCGCAAGGGTAAGATTGTGCAAGATTGGCACTACATTCACAAGCATTCACGCCCGCCACCATCGATGTTCAGTAGCAGCAGTGTGTACCATCTATAAGATGCATTGCAGAAATTCACCAAAGATCCTCAGACAGCACCTTCCAAACCCACGACCACTTCCATCTAAAAGGACAAGGGCAGTAGATATATGGGAACACCACCACCTCCAAGTTCCCCTCCAAGTCACTCACCATCCTGACTTGGAAATATATCGCCGTTCCTTCACTGTCGCTGGGTCAAAATCCTGGAATTCCCTCCCTAATAGCATTGTGGGTCAACCCACAGCAGGAGGACATTCAAAAAGGCAGCTCACCACCACCTTCTCAAGGGCAACTAGGGATAGGCAAGAAATGCTGGCCAGCCAGCGATGCCCACATCCCACAAATGCATAAAAAAAAGAGTAGAGATAGAGGAAACGAGTACACATGTTAAGTGGAGAGAATGTGTCACTGAAGTGGGATGAAAGAAACCATTATTTAATAGTCATCAGGTGGTCATTCCAGGGTGACAAAGTAACAGAAAGATAGATTTATTTCAGATAAATTAGGAGTCAATTTCAATTTTAGATTTGAAAGCTTTCAAAATTTACTCTATTTAACATTGACGAGACAAGATTTATAAATATAACAAAGACGCAATTGTACTGATGAGAAAGAACTATGACAATTTATTAATGCACATTGTCCAGAAATAAATACATTGAATTATATAAACAATGCAGCACAGAAGTCAGGCCATTTACTCAGCAGCCTCTAGCAGTAGTAATGCTCCATTTGTGCCTCTTCTCATTCCTTCACATCTAACTCTTGTCAGCATAACTTTATATCCCTTTCTCCCTGAAAATCTCATCTAGTTTTCTGTTCAATGTGTCTGTATTATTTGGTTAACTAATCCCTGTGGAATTCCACATTGTCAATACCTTTTGGGTATAAGCATTACTTCTGCATTCCCTGCGGATTTTTTGGTGAGTGTTTTATACTAATGGCCTCTTGCAATGCTCTTCTTCACAGATGAAAACACTTCGTCTATTCTATCAATACCTTTCACAATTTTAAATGGCTCTACCATTCAAGAAGAATGTGATATATATATTGTGATAGATATAACTTTGCAGTTCTGGTATCATTGTCATAAATCTTTCATACACCCTCTTCGATGTTTCTATATTATTGTTTATAAAATGAAGACTATTTTGCCTAACCAAGATTCAATGTAATTATAGCATAACTTGCCTACTTCTCAATTATATCCTTCTGGATATAAGACGTAGTTTTGATCTGCTTGTATTTCAGTCTTATTTTCTTGTACCACAACTTATTGATTTTTACCCGTACTTCCAGAACTCTAGTTTCTCTACCTCATTTAGTTTCTTACTCCCCAAGCAAATCTGGTCACCGTTCTAAAGGAAAGATATTGTAAAACTTGATATGGTGCAGAAAAGATTTGCAAGGATGTTGCCAGGACTGGAGGGCTTGAGCTATAAGGAGAGGCTGAATAGGCAGGGGCTGTTTTCCCTGGAGCGTCAGAGACTGAGGAGTGATTTTATAGAGGTTTGTAAAATCATGAGGGGCATGGATAGGGTGAATAGTCAAGGACATTTTCCTAAGATGGGGGAGTCCAGCAATAGAGAGCATAAGTTTAAGGTGAGAGGAAAAAGATTTAAAAAGGACCTGAGGGGTAATTTTTTTTAATGCAGAGGGTGGTGTGTGTGTATGGAATGAGCTGCCAGAGGAAGTGGTGAAGGCTGGTACAATTACAACTTCACTGGTATATCACTTTGCAAGTTTCTTAATACCTTTACATAATTTGATGTAATCCTGCTCAGTGTTGACCATCCTTCTCAATTTAGTGCCATCTGAAAATTTAGAAATTTTGCTTTTGATTTTAATATCTAAGTCTAATATAAACTGTGAACCACAGCAGGTCCAGGACTTACCCTTGTGGTATCCAAATCCCACTTCTACCTTCCTGAAAAGCCATCTGCTAGTCTCTGCTTTTTGTCATGCAGCCAGTCAAGAATCTGCTCTGCATTTGTTCCTCACTTAAGAGTCATAGAGTCTGAGAGATGTACAGCACGGAAACAGACCCTTCGGTCCAACTTGGCTATGCCAACCAGATATCCTAAATTAATCTGGTCACGTTTGCCAGCATTTGGCCCATATCTCTCTAAACCCTTCCTATTTATATACCCATCCAGATGCCTTTTAAATGTTGTAATCATACCAGCCTCCACCACTTCCTCTGGCAGCTCATTCCACACACGCAACACCCTCTATGTATAAAAGTTGCCCCTTAGGTCCCTTTTAAATCTTTCCCCTCTCACCTTAAACCTATTGTGCTGTGACATTATTCATTATCTCTTATTGTGGTATCTTATCAAGAGGCATCCTGGAAATCCAGATATATTAATTAAAAAATTGCATCTACTGTCCCAGTTTGCTCTTCAAAGAATTAAATGAGGTTGGTCAAGCAATGCTTCCCAATTTGAAATCTGTGTTCACTATTCATTTTGTGTTTTTGGTTTCCATGTTTTCTTACTTTCTCTTGCAGTACGATTCCTTAAGTTTCTCAATTTACAATGTTGAGGCAACTGGTCTATGCTTCCCTGGACATAGCCAATCATTAAATATGAGTATAATATTAGCTATTCAACAGTTCTGTGGCATACTACCTTTTTGTAATGAATTATTAAATATATTAATCTTATGAAAGTTGCAATATACAGCATGTTAGTTAATATTAATGACAGCATGAGAACTCCATATCTGTTGAGTTTGGGGTTATAGAAATAGATTATAAATTGTACATCTATATAAAAAGACTTATTCTAATTTATTTTGCAAGATCATTACAGCATTCAAAAAATAATAGAGAAAAAATACATTTCAATCGATTAAATTACTGCATTTTGAATGTCCCATGAAAGAATATTAACACACTAAATATTCATTCGGTAGACGTGAAAATTAGTTACCTTACCAAACTATCAACTTCAGCAAGAGTGTGATTAGCATTGTAGATGGAGTAGGTAAGTTGGTAGACACCATCATTTGTTTCACTGTTTCCATAGAAGCCAACCCCAACTGCAGCACTGTAAAAGAAAAGTATACTTCTCTGAAAAGAAATCAATATGACGGGTCACTTACTCATTACTCAACAATGTTGACAGAAAATACCAGATGGAAGAAAACAATGAAATGGAAAGTCAGTAATACAGTGAAAGGTTCAGATGGCATCAAGCCATTTGGCTTACTTCAGGTCACAAAACTCTCATGGCTGTTAGCATATGTAATCCTTTGTGCAGCATTTTTCACAACATTACGTGATGTTCTTGCCCTGAAAACCTGCAATTCCTATATCACAGATTGTGCAGAGAACACACTGTTTTTTCAGATTGCAAATCATTATTGTAGTTCCAATATTAGCTCCTTATACATTCACAGTTGCAAAGTGTAATTGTTGCTACACAGAGATTCAGATGTTGAAAAAAAAAATCACCTATTTCCCTCTCCAGAGATGCAGCCTGGATTGTTGAATATTTCCAGCTTTTTAAATTACATTGTAGATTTCCACCTGCAATATTTTGGCTTTGTTATTAAGAACTTGTACATTTGTGCAGCAACATGTAACATGATCACTAGACAGCACCCAATTCTTCAGATAGGGGCATTCACCTGTTGTGACAACATGCCAGAAAATACAGTGGTGAAAGGTGTAAATATTAACATGATTTTTACGATTTGGATTTCAAAATTGCAGCATGTGTGTTTCGGTTATGCTCGTGAAGGGATTTTAAAAAAACTAGGTTAGTTGATCCTTCCGCAACAGTGACCTAATCTGGTAAATGCCAGAGAGCAGAGAATCCTTGGAGTGTTAACAGAAAATTAATTATACAGGTGTGGTTTGTAGCAGGTGGAATAGACATTGAAGGCCAGTCATTTGTTTTCATTTTAGAATAATCAAGGGAAGTTTTTAGAGTGGTTTGGAACAGATCTGACTGGGGTCAGAACAAGAATCGTTCCTCTCCTGGAGAAAGTTTTCTCAGAACAGTTAAGGGAATAAGTTATCTCAGTAGAAAAGTTTAGTTTGTGTAGCTTTCAGACCTGGCGTGTTTGATTAGAAATCTGCAGGTTATTAGAAGCTGAGAAAAACTAATCTCTCAGTTTGGTAAATATTCATGTATGAAGACCACTACAGTTCAAAGGACAGAAACTTAGACAATCAGTTAATTTGGAATTAAATATTTCACAGAGGGTTTTTTTTAGTTAGAATTTCTGCAAATTGATGTTACTGGGAAATATAATGAAAATTTTGCTGTCTCCATGATTTAAAATCTTACCAACTGTCTTCCATTTTGAGGTAGTTTGGTTTGTTTTCTTTGCTTTCACCTCTTGTACAATAAGCTTCTGTTCTTGTTATTAAAGAGATTCTGCAGCCTCACGTGACTATGTTCCAGTGACTGACCATCACATTAGCCATGGTGCTAACACAAAGGATTCATCAAGCCAGATTTCATTCTGAGATCTGACTTATAAGCAAAGTTGCCATAATCCAACTGGATCCTAGGGCTGCTCCCTCATTTGAGAAAGATGACTGATGGTGGTTTAACGTGAGGGTCAAGGGGAGAGGTTGAGGAAGGTCCTTCACGGTAACCTCAGCCAGTAGCAGGAATCGAACCCATGCTGTGACATCACTGCATCACAAATCAGTTGTCCGGCTGACTGAATTAACTTATCCCCATCTGACCTGTAGACAATGACTATCAGCTGGGGTGATAACTGCAAATCCATCTTGGTTCAATGCATGGAGTGCAAAGTTGTAGCTCTCAAAAGCAGTTAAGTCTGAAGCAGCCTACAAGTTGAGGGGGCATAAGTTTCTGGCTGCAATGCAAGGACAAAAGAAGAAGGATTATGAGTAAAGGTGACGAAGGGATTTGAAGACAGGCATGAGAATTTTGAATTTAATGACTGGTATATATGGATGCCACTAACAGTCAGAAAAACAAAGTACAGCTGTGCAAGTATGAATTTTAATTCATTTTTATGAAATTAAAGTTCAAAGCTTCCGCAAAAATATTAATACTTTTTAAAAAAATGTTGGCTATGTAGCCTTCAGGACTTTAAGAGCAAGGTATGTCAATTGTGCTTTTTCTTACTGAAGCTCAAATTTAAAAACAAAGAATTGCTGTAAAAGATCTCATGAGATTTACTGGAATTAACACAAAATATTGGAGGCTCTGGTGAAATTATCTAATACTTACACAAGCATCACAGAGAACCAATTTGTAAATTTCTGCTAGTACAGATCAGTCATTCCAATGTTGTTGGGATTAGTGATGCAGAAATTTAATTAAAAAGGATTCTTTTACCAAAAGCTCTTAATCTCCTTTAATAAATGAAGCCTGAGGCCATGCAAATCAATCTTTCCCACTCTAGCATAGAATTAAACTCTCGAAGTTTAAGTACACTTGCAAGATATATTTCATCTGTCATTTGTCAACCAACATTTTTTTTAAAATGAACGAGTTCACTGGTCCATAAGTTTATAATTCCAGATCCCTGTTATAGCATGCATATCCCACCCTTGTTTGTATCTCTTCATGTGCCTTATTCAATGACTAATTTTCAGGGATTCTGCATATTCTCCTAGACTTCAAAGGGATTCTGGTACCAACCTCTAAGTGTCCACCATCAAAACACTCCCAGGACAGCTACAGCATGGGGTTAGATACAAATTTAAGCAGCACTGTACACAGTGCAAATAATAGCACAAAAATTACAAAGGGATATTGATAGACTGGGTGAACGAGCAAAACTGTGTTAGATGGTATTCATTACAAGCAAGTGTGTGGTTATCAAGTTGGCATACAAAGAGACAGTACAAATTAGGTTTGCAAGAATGATGCCTGGACTTCAGGGGTTACATTCTGAGGAGAGATTATAAGGTAGAGAAGGTTCAGAAGAGATTTACCAGGATGTTGCTGGGTATGGAAGGTTTGAGTTATAAAGAAAAGCTGGATAGGCTGGGACTTTTTAAACTGAACTTAGGAGGTTGAGGAGTGACCTTGTAGTGGCTTATAAAATCATGAGGGTTACTGACTGGGTTAATGGTAGGTGTCTTTTCCCTAGGATGGGGAATTTCAAGGCTAGGGGGCACATTTTTAAGGTGACAGGAGAGAGATTTATAAAAGAAATAAGGGAAGATGTTTTACACAAAAGCACAGTCATAACGTTTAAAAGACGCTTAGATAAGTACATGAATAGGAAAGGTTTGGAGGGATATGGGCCAGGGATAGGCAGTTAAGACTAGTTTAGTTTAATCATGTTCGCCATGGACTGGTTGGACCGAAGGGTCTGTTTCCATGTAGTATGACTCTATGACTCCATTACCTGTCTGAAATTGATCACAGCAAGTGCAGGTTAATGTTGAAAGCCCAAATTTACAGTCTATCGCTCAGTGCTCTGCCACAGGTTGTGCTATGAACACCAACTCCAGGGGCGATAATCATTGAAATAGTTGATGTGCTAAGAACTTCCCACCTCTGCTCTCACATTGCTGTTAAAAAGCCAATTAAAAAATCACATGTAATGGGGTATTTAAACCATGATCTGAATAATAATGAAAGCTAAAAAAGACTATATTTGGTGAAAGCTGTTAAGCGTCATCAAAGGAATTCCAATGAGTATAATCCCAGTCTACTCAGTCTCTCCTCATAATCCAACCCTCTCAACTCTTGAATCAACCGAGTGAATCTCCTCTGCACCCCCTCCAGTGCTAGTATATCCCTTCTCAAGTAAGGAGACCAAAACTGCACACAGTACTCCAGGTGTGGCCCCATCAGGACCCTATACAGCTGCAGCATAGCCTCCCTGTTTTTAAACTCCAACCCTCTAGCAATGACAGACAAAATTCCATTTGCCTTTTTAATTACCTGCTGCACCTGCAATCCTACTTTTAGCGATTCATGCACAAGGACACCCAAGTCCCTCTGCACAGCAGCGTGCTGCACTTTTTTACCATTTAAAACATAGTCCATTTTGCTGTTATTCCTACCAAAATGGATGACCTCACACTTATCAACATTGTACTCCATCTGCCAGACCTTTGCCCGCTCACTTAGACTATCTATATCCCTCTGCAGACTTTCAGTATCTTCTGCACACTTTGCTCTACCACTCACTTTAGTGTCATCTGCAAATTTTGTCACACCACACTTAATCCCCAACTCCAAATCATCTATGTACATTGTAAACAATTGCGGTCCCAACACTGATCTCTGAGGCACACCACTAGCCACTGACCGCCAACCAGAAAAACACCACTTTGCTTTCTACTGGTCAAACAATTCTCTATCCATGCCAATACATTACCTGTAATACTGTGCAACTTTATCTTATGTAGCAGCCTTTGGTGTGGCACCTTGTCAAATGCCTTCTGGAAATCCAGATACACCACATCCACAGGTTCCCCATTGTCCACCATGCAAGTCATGTCCTCAAAGAATTCCACCAAATTAGTTAAACATGACCTACCCTTCATGAACCCATACTGGGTGTTCCCAATGGGACAATTTATATCCAGATGTCTTGCTATTTCACACGTGCAGCAGAAGAGGCTCTCCTGGATGATAATTTTATCGTGCATTATTGGGGCCGAATATCATGTTTCTGAACTATATGTTCCATGTACTATGTAAAGGGCAAACATTCAGAAAGCACATGGGTTGCTCCAGTCGACAGTAACTGTTAGCAACTCCAGGCTGTCCAAAGTCAAACTCTATCTTCCTTGCATCCTTAGAATAATGGTTTGAGTTAAAGCACAAACACTTCCATTTATAAAACAAATTATAAAATGCCTGTTTACTGTCTTTGTCAATTTTATTCACCTCTGAAGCAACAAAGTACATAGAAACTGTTGTAGGTGCCTGAAATGTCAGATCTGCACAAGCGAATTATATGCCGGTAAAGAAAGATCTGGGGCACTAGTTGATAGAAAGAAATCACCTAACAGGAAATAAGTTGTTTTGATCTAAGTGAGCTTGACATTTATTCCGCATTTTGTCAAGGCAAGGACCTGGTGGAGCAGTGAACA